AGAGCACAAAAGTTGGCTTGAAACTCAACATCAAAAAAACTCAGATCATGGCATCTGGCCTCATCACTCCTTGGCAAATAGAGTGCTTTGGGGGGGGGGGGTCAACAGGGGGAGGGCTTCTAATGTCCTGGCCCCACTGGTGGACCTCCTGATGGCACCTGGTATTTCTGGCCACTGTGTGACACAGAGTGTTGGACTGGATGGGCCTTTGGCCTGATCCAACATTGGCGTCCCTTATGTTCTTATGTAATGCTTTCTCTGCAAGGGATTCTTGGAACTGTAGTTCTGCAAGAAGGCCTAGTTTCTCATAGGCTCAGCTCTGTGTTATAATTTATGACCACAGGATTCCACAAATTAAACTATAACAGTTCAGCACAGTGTGTTAGAGTAAGCAGTGCCTTGAATGACTAGATGTACCCCCCCTTTAATCCCTGTCCTCAAAGGTAAAACGATTAATTTTTCAACTTTGAGAAGTTCACAAGTAAATTGCTTCACATGCCAGAAAAAGCATTACTTGTTTTTTTCAGCCTTCTTGTTGAAGGCAAGAAAGTTTGTCAGTAAAAAGACAGCAATCTTCTAAATTTCTATATTAATACATTTCAGTTAGATTTTTTGATCTGGTTGCTGCAAAGCTCTACAACTGCTGCATTGTTCCCTCAAGATTTGCTGGCATAAGTGTAAAATGAATCAGACCATGGGGCCATCTTGCCTGGCTCAGATTTGTCCCCTGATTTCTAGATTTTGTCCCCCTATGACCTGAGCTCTCTGTGAGTGAAAATGCCAGGGACTGATCATGGGACTTTCTACAGACAAAGAATGTTTTTTACCACCAAGCTGTGATATCTACAAGACACTGCAGAATTACAGCTTGGTCCTACATGTCTTTACTTGGATACGTTCAGAGGTCATTTCGGGGGGGGGGGATTGCGGGGGATCGCAGTTCCCCCGGGTGAGGTACAGGGGGCAGAGCACATGACGAAGCCCCGCCCTCCGCTTCCGGCCGCCCCACTTCCGGCCCTCATTCAGCCAGGAGGAGGCAGGAGAAGAGGGAGGGTAAGTTGCTTCCTCCCTGCCTCTCCCCACCCCTGCCTGCCTGGGGCCAGGGAGGGCCTTCGCGGGGCTTCCTTGCACTCCCGCTGGCCTTGCAGGTCCACCGCTGGGCCACCGTTGGGGGCGGGGTGTGTGGCCGTATGACACACTTCCAGTGATGTCAGGGGGTGTGGCCTTATGACACACTTCCGGTGATGTCAGGGTGTGTGGCATATGCTAATGAGTTATGCTAATGAGTTCCCCTAGCTCGTTTTCTACGAAACGACCCCTGGATACGTTCCACTGTTTTCAGTGTAACTTGCTCACAGGTTATGTGTGCATAAGATCTCACCTTTAATGTCTTTACGTAAGAATGTAAGAAGAGCCCTGCTGGATCAGACTAGTGGTCCATCTAGTCCAGCATCCTGTCTCACACAGTGGCCAACCAGTTTCTTTAGAGAGCCAACAACAGGGCATAGAGGCCAACACCTTCCCCTAACGTTGCCTCCTGGCTCTGGAGGTTCCTCTCAGTCACCATGGCTAGTAACCACTGATAGACCTATCCTCCATGAATCTATCGAATCCCTTTTTAAAGCTGTTTATTCCTGTGGCCATCACTACATCCTCTGACAGTGAATTCCACATTTTAATCACTCTCTGTGTAAAGAAGTCTTTGTGTTCCTGATGCCAAAACCACTGAAATAATACACCCATTCCCCTTGATTTCATTTGATATTAACTTACCCTTTCACTAGACACTTCCAAGAAGCGACTGATGTTTGTGTTTGTGGAAGCACTCAAACCAGGACTGAGTTCTATTGATGTACTAGTCTGAGTCTCAGTAGGGATGAATTTCAGAGAAAGGCTAGACTGAAAATCCTGTTTTCCCTCTGTGAACATCTTTCTCATTGCAGCCACCTTGTCTGAATACTCCCCAGATGAGAATCGTCTGTCTTCATTCGTCTTTAAGTGAAAATATATTTAAAAATATAAATTACATGCAATAGAAGATGGACTATATGCATCAGAGCAGAGCACTTGAACAAGAGTTTGCAACTATTGACAAGATGCTCTGATTCTGTTTCGGTGATATTTTTGTGCTTGTGCGATTTCACTTTTTATACACTATATTGACTTTTTAATTTTTTCCCCCAGTCTCTTTTAAAAAATGTAATGCACTAGTTACCTTTTACTTGTTTTGAAATCAAAGGTTCGACGTTATTGGTTTAAATCTCCCCCCCCACCCCGTGTTAATTCTTACCACAAGTGATTTAGGGCTTACAAAGACGATATTACAATAAAGCTGAGCATGTGTATAAACGAACATCCACACCTTCATGATGTCAGGATGTAAAGACAGTTGAACCTAAAGCAGCTCCCCCCCCCCCCCCGTTTCATCGTAATATGTAGTTTGGCCCAAAGGCACTTACAACAGTTAGTATAGTACAGAAGCATGTATGAAACCCCAGATTATGCAAAGAGGCTTACTCTATAATTGATAACTGCAACATTCCATGGTGTACGATAATAGATCCCTGTATTCCTATCACGTTCCCGGTTGCAAAAACCATTATAAAATTCATTGTAAAATGGAGTACCCTTTGGTCTCATTCCTAGAATGTTGAGTCTGCAAGAAAACAGGACAAAAGCATTTTCTAGAATCTTATTTGTTCCCAGTGATGTCCTATCGTACCATTCAAGTATTATGCAGTTTCTAAACAGACATAGGGAGCTGCGGTGGCTCAAGTGGTTAAGACGCTGAACTGCAGGCTGTGGAAGGTCGGTAGTTCAGCAGTTTGAGACCCGAGTGTGCCGCATGACGGAGTGAGCTCCCGTCTCTAGTTCCAGCTCCTGCCAACCTAGCAGTTCGAAAGCAAGAAATTGCAAGTAGATAAATAGGTACCACTTCGGTGGGAAGGTAACAGCGTTCCGTGTGCCTTGGTGTTTGGTCATGCCGGCCACATGACCACGGAAACGTCTTCGGACAGCGCTGGCTCTTCGGCTTTGAAATGGAGCTGAGCACCGCAACCCTAGAGTTGGACTCGACTGGCTTTTGAGCAAGGGAACCTTTACCTTTACTAAACAGAAATATATATATATTTTTTTAAAAACCTCCAACCTTCACACACACACACACACACACACACACACACACACCGTGAGCATGAAATAACAACCATTCAGTATTTTACATTATCTTAACCAATACCAATATTTTCTATAGACATTGGCCTATTACGTATGCACAGAAAAACAAACAAAACTGTGTACCAAAAATATATGTACAATGTTAATGCTAATAAAAATGGAGAACAACCAACCTGTTTGTCCAAATGTTATTTATATTCAAAACCATAAATATATATGAGAAGGTTTACACAAAATCACATCATAAAGAAATTACTGTATACGTAATAAAGGTGCCCATTTAAAAGAGTCCATAAGAGTTCAACCAGTATTCTGTTGGATGATTCAAAAGGAATGTTCCCAGTGGAGAATCCGAAGATTCAAAAGGGGCCTGAAGATTCAAAGCAGTAGTAACGCGTCCTGGTCCAGATAGTGATTCTTTCTAACGAGTCTGCTAGCTATCCGCTGTCTCATTTCACACTGAAGCTTTTTCAAAGAAGGACCAACATTCCAATATACTGAATCAAAGTCAACAGGAAACATTCGATATAATTCCTGTGTCGTACATTCTCTTGCAAAAGAGAATTCTTTTGCAAATATATTAAAATATGAGCAATCTGATGTCAGAAGAGAATTATAAGTTAACAAGTGGGGACCGACCCATAAGAAACTTGTGGGGTGGCTATCCCATTCCCCCCTCCTTTGCTTCCACCCCTCTCCCCGTACCTCTCTCACACTGTTTCTCCCTTCTGCCATCCCATCTCTCTCTCTCCTCCATGCATGTCACTTCCTCTCTCTTCCTGTCCCCTCATCACTCTCTTTGTTTTTCTGCCTCCCCACCCCATCATGCTTTCTTTCTGCCAAACCAGCCTCCAAGCCTCTCGCCTGCTTCCCCCCCCAAGCCCCCCGCCTGCTTCCCCCCCCCCCGCCCCGCACGGCAGCAGCGGTTGTGGTGCTCCCAGCTGACCACCAGCTTCCTCCCCTCCTCCCAGCAGCAGTGACAGTGGCAGCTCTCCAGGAATCACAACATATCTCCCAGCTACAGAAATTAATTCCCATGAGGGTTGCCAGCTCCAGATTGGGAAATTCCTGGCAATTTGGGGGTAGAGCCTTGGGACAGTGAGGTTTGGGGAGGGAAGCAGCCTCAGCAGGGTATAGTGCCATAGACTCCACCCTCCAAAGCAGCCATTTTCTCCAGGGAAACTGATCTCTGTCACCTGTTAATTCTGAGTGATCTTTAGCCCTCACCTGGCAATGGTAGTTCTTGTGGAGGAAATGACTAGTTTGGAGGATGAAGACTATGGCATTATACCAGTCTGATGTTCCTTCCATTCCTCCAACTGCACCCTCCCCAGGCTCCAAACCTCAGATGTCCAAGAATTTCACAGCACGGAGTTGGCAACCCTATCCCCTTCCCACCCAATGGCCAGCCTACCTTTATCTGTCCCTCTGTCTTCAGCTTCCTGGCTCCGCTCCCTTCCCCCACAGCCTCCACCTAGGAAAAGTACAGTCTTTCTCCACCATGGGGACCAAAGCAGCTTACATTATTCTCTCCTCCTTTTTATCTGCACAACAACCCTCTTAGGGTAGGTTATGCTGAAAGTATGTCACTGGTCCAAAATCATCCAGTCAGCTTCCACAGCTAAATGGGCATTTTTAATTTTTATTTTATTTTATTTTTGGATTTATATCCCGCCCTCCCCGAAGGCTCAGGGCAGCTAACAACGAGGCACAAGTGCCAGAATTAAAAAAGATAAAACAGTCTAAAACAGTAAAACAATATAATACAACAACAAAGTGTCAGTGCAAGATGGGGTAGATCTTAGTCGAATGGCATTGGTCCCGCAACTTGTCATCCCCTCTCCTTCCAGGGTCACCTCACACCCAGATGGAATGACATATTGGTGGTAGTGGTGCGATGCTGCATACATATCGGTGGTGGAATTATAGTGGCGGCGGCTTCTACTTGAAAGCCTGGCGGAAGAGCTTCATCTTACAGGCCCTGCGGAACTGAGAAAGGTCCCGCAGGGCCCGGATCTCTTCCGGGAGCTCCTTCCACCAGGTAGGAGCCACCACCGAGAATGCCCTGGCTCTAGTAACAGCAAATTTAACATCCCTGGGGCCTGGAATTTCCAGGAGATGTTGACTCCCCGACCGTAGTGCCCTTGGGGGAACATATGGGGAAAGACGCTACTCTGAAGCTCTTACCACTGCACCACACTGGCTTTCATAGGGTGGCTGTTGTTGAACAGTAGCAAGCAGCCAAGCCTAGCTGAGTCATGCAAGTCAGGTGGTATCAAGTCACCCAGAGGGTGTTGCCAGGCCTAGAGTTGCCAACCTCTACGTGGGGCCTGAAGACCTCCCAGCATGATAACTGAACACTAGAGAACAGAGATCTGTCTCCCTGGAGAAAAAGGCTGCTTTGAAGGGTGGACTCTGTGGCATTATATCCAGCGGAGGCACCTCCCTTCCCCAAACCCTGCCCTCCTCAGATTCCACCACAAAATCTCTTGGAATTTCCCAACCTGGAGCGGGCAACCCTTGCCAGGCTTGGCCCAAGGATTCCTCCCTCAAAGTCTAAAATAGGCCAGGAAAGCCCCCCCCCCCCGCCCTTTACTGACAGAACCAATTTTTGAATACTATGGTTCCCTAGCAACAGCTTCTGAGGGAATCTGTTTTTTTAAACCTACAGACACTCCTTTTATCATTTTTGGCTTTTTAAAGCCCAGTGTTGTTTTTTTTTTTTAAAGGTTTCACACTTTTCTGAAACCAAAGGCCTTTTTTGCGTTTGTAGAAAGCTCTGTCTTGTCCGTTCACAGCTCCAATCACCGGTTTTAAGTATCCAAAGATATCCCAACTTCACTATTAGAATATAAGATAAAGTTATTCTCATTTGCTTGTTGTCTGGTACATTTCCTATCCTTCCTCTGCAGACTCGCCAGCCCTTACCCTTGGCCAGCTTTTCTTCCAATTTTTGATATGCCAACAATGCGACCACGACAGGGCGGGCGGGATTTGGTGTCATTACAGTTAGCTTCATCAGAGAAATCTCCACAGTCATTGTCTGTGTTACACACCAATCTTTGTTTGATGCAGACTCCTGAGGAAAGCATAAAGAATCAATCATGTCTGGCTCGCAAACAACTGGAGACAGTTTGAGAGCTCTAAGCATCAAGACAAAGCTTCAAGTACTGCTTGCGCAAAATAAGGGATAACATTAGGGCTGCCAACATCCAGGTGGGGACTAAGAATTACAACAGACCTCCGGATTACATAGATCAGTTCCAGTGAAAAAAACAGTGGCTTCGGAGGGCAGACATTATAGCATTACATCCCTGCTGAGGTCCCTCCCCTTCCTAAACTCCACCCTCCCTTAGCTCCACCCCCAAATCTCCAAGAATTCCCTAACACGGAGCGGGCAACCTTAGAAAAATATGCTTAATACATTTTGTGACACAACGTACAAGATGTACAAATGTCAATACTATGTAAGTATCATTAAAATGTTGTATTCACTCTTAAGGTACCTCCACTGCTGTGAATGGAGCTCCAGGGCTCTTTTTGTGGAAAAAGCCCAGCAGGAACTCATTAGCATAATAGGCCACACCCAACAGCAGAAACCGATTAGCATATTAGGCCACACCCCTGACAGCACAGCTCATTAGCCCATTAGGCTGCACCCCCATGTTACCAAAAGTGTGGTCATCCAGCCACACCCACCTTTTGCTTCTTATTCTGTTTACCTTGTTTGTTGTCAAAACCCTGGGCTTTTTTTGTATCAGGAACTCCTTTGCATGTTAGGCCACACACCCCTAATGTAGCCAATCCTAATGAGTTTCTGCTGTTGGGTGTGGCCTATTATGCTAATGAGTTCTTGCTGGCCGTGGCCAACTCAGGAGCCAGCCGGAATTCCGTTCCTGTGCGTTCCTGCCCAAAAATAGCCCTGGAGCTCACAAAAGTAGCAGGAGACATTTTGAACTTAAAGAAACTGTGACTGGCATGAGATCGGCTGTGCGGGGCCTCTTATGTTTTTACGTTCCTATAAAAATATAGTGCATTTAATTTCTTAAGTATTAGCTCAAAATTGAGGTGGTGAATGTTACACTGCCATGAAAAAGGTGTTCCATTGTGAAAGCAAGAGGTCAAGGATGTGGCAATCTTCTTCTCGGGCCCTTCTTTGTGTCTGCCCACCTTCTGAAGTGAGGCACATGGCTTTGAGAGAGCTGCCCCCTGCATTGGAACACATTTTCTCCCCTACTGCAGTCTTTGGGTGGGTTTGAATATGAGGCTAAGCCCCCTTTTTCACTCCAGCCACCTTTTCATTGATTAGTGGATGGTTTTTGGTTCTAGTTCTTCTTTATTTAAAAGGGGAAAATCAAAATGCCATTGCACTTGGTGAGAGGATTAATTTGGAGCTAAATTTGGACTATTGACGCTATGAAGCTTGTCTTATGGTGAGTCAGTAAACAGCTTCCCTTGCATGTTAAGTGTCTGCATAGTGTATCCTTCCCTTCTGTCTGTGGGAATAGTACACACAGTTCTTCACTTCTTAATTTTAGCTTTGCAACAGCCTTGTGAGGTTGGCTAGACTGAGAGAAAGGAACTGGCCCAAGCCACTTTGTGCATTTTTTGAATGAAGGGTGATTTCACACTGGGTCCCTCTTGTCCAAACGTGACTCTCTTTCCACTCCTTCCACTCTACCACCCTGGCTCTTGAAAAGAGATTGTGCAAGTTCCTAGGAAAAGATCTTTCTATGTCTATTACCTGTTACAGAAAAAAATGAATTTCTTGTTGAAGAAATGCTACACCACTGAATGCCAGATTACTAGGATCAAACAACAAAAATAGTTATTCCATATCTGCTCTATTTCCAGAAAGATCTGACTGGTCCCTGCTGCAAATATATTACCAGACCAGTAGTGTCCTTATTATACTGAATACAGGGGACTACCACTCAAAACAGTATGCCCAGCATCATTTTATGTATGCAGCAGCCAATTGTGAAAGGGTCCTGTACATGGGAACCATATTTTTTGTGGCCATAGACTGTTGTTTCTTCAGGGTCTTTCAATGGGAGAAAATATACTTTTCTAGCAAGGCTAAAAAATTCTTCATAAAGAAGAGTACACAGATAATATATATTTGATTAAAACAACCACAATGATAGCTTGATAGGATCTGTGATTTTGTAATATTTTGGTATTGCTTTTTTAAAAAATATATCTGTATTTCTCTTTGGGAGGCCTGGTCATATGGTATATAATGAACGAGTATAATACACCTAGGAGGAATCAGCATAATTTAGAGATTTGGATTTTGTCTTTACATACTACGAACTAATAATGTGTGGAGATTATTTTAATATGTCTGATGGTTTCTTCTAGTTTAACATACAGTGAATTGCTGCAGTAGTTCATACAGTTGAATAAATAAAGATAATACTGCTGTTAAGCTTCCATGCTGTTTTAATTCTTGTTTTTTCAGCAGGTAGACATCATCGAGACACTGAAGTGCCGTCAAGATGACCAGATGAACGGACGAACTTCTTGAGTTTTACCGTTCGTTTCGAGGTATATCTTTATCAAACTGATCTCAATTTCCCAGTATTCTTTTTACAGTCCAATCCACCAAAAAGGTATTCATAAACTCAGAATGGCTTCCCACAGCTCTTTTGCTAACAATTGTTTCCTTGCTACGGACAACACGGAAACTGGCATACTGGTTGTTAAAGTTCCTTCTAGCTATCATTTATAATATTTATTTATTTATTTATTGCATTTTTACCCTGCCCTCCCTGTGAACGGGCTCCCATAGCCTTCTGCTCCAGGATTTGTTTAATTATTGGGGAATTATAAACTCTGATGCATCTTTAGTCTTCTGGGTTGTCCGTTGCTTGTGAATGTGGCCTAATATGCTAATGGGCCGCACGGTCGGGGTGTGGCCTAATATGCTAATGAGTTTCTGCTATTGGGTGTGGCCCATTATGCTAATGAGCTCCTACAAAAAGAGCCCCGAGTAGTGATATCGCGTCTGCCTACCCCACTTCCTCTTTGCCTCTGACCTTGAAAACCCTATGGGGTCACTTAAGTTGCCTATGACTAGATGGCACTTTCTACAACCAAATAGTCTAGTGAATAGCCTGGGTAAACACAAATATCTTAGTTTGACACCTAAGTGCTAGCAAAAGAGGTGCTGTGAGCTTTGAGGGTCAAGGTACTTTATAGATGGGTGTCAGCAGTGTGCTGACAGTGGGTAGAAGATATCAGAGACGTTTGTCCTTCAGGCAACTGCCTCCCTCACCATGTCCCTCACTTCTGTATTCATTCCTGACTCCCAAATTTCCCTCTCTCACATCAACTAATTTTGAAAAACAGGTGGGACAAATAGTCTATACCTGGGGCAGGCTTAGAAAGGGAAATATAATGGACAAGTGTGAATAGTTTGCGAAAAGGAGATCAGTAGCATCAGTGCCACCACTGAAAAGCCCTTGTTCTTGTAGAAGATGGCCTCAGCGCAGACCGACCATAGTGGCACACACAGTAGATATACTGTAGCATCCCCAAAGTTTATATGAAACAATATTTTCAAAGAATAATGCAAAAGCCTACCATTAGCACATTGGAAGTTATCCTCCTCCTCTCCACAGTCAATTTCTTCTTCAGGGCAAACTTGGTCTGTTACACAGCTCTGTTTGTCACCCAGAGGTTCAAAGCATGGCTTCCCTCTGAACTGTCCATATTTCAAGACACTTCTTGAGCGATACTTTTAATAAGGGGAAAGAAGGATAGGGGCTCAAAAGTAGAAGAGAAATAGTCATGAAATTATGTTATTTTCTTTGTGAATGACAATAATTTTGAAACTAAGGTGGAAATTTGGAGGAAAACAAAAGGGTTATGAGCTTTTCATGTCCCCGAAGGATTAGGGAGTCCATTATTTTGGAAGTTAACACCTCAGAATCTGTTTTAAGGGCATTTTTTACATTATTGGAAACTTGAAAGTGAAGCAAAACAAGGTGTTTCTAAAGAGAAATCTGGCCCAGGAAAGGGTGGTTCACAATTCTTTTCCTTTGTCATACAGTTTCACTTTATATCATTCTGTTCAGTTTTCACAAAATGGAAAGATATTTACTTGTACAGTTTTGCAAGGGAGATTTAAAAAATCCAGCAGTGTAGCTGTTTTAATCTTTTCCAGCAAAACCGAAGAGGGGCCTTGTGGCATCTTAAAAACTAACAGACATACACTCTTGTTTGCTAGAGCTCACTTTATTACATACATGAAGTGACACCTCATTCAATAAATATATATATATACATGGCAGAGGGGAAAACTATAGAGTGAAATGCAAAAAGCATAGTGTGTGACATTTCTGAGCAAAACTGAAAAGCACGTGAGATAAATTTGCCTTGAAGATTTTTCAGTTTCTCTCTCTCTCTGCTGTGTATATATTTCTATTGACTAAGGTTTCACTTCATGCATCCAATGAAGCTTGCTATGAATACTTATGCTTCAATAAATCTGTTAGTCTTTAAGGTGCCACAAGACTCCTTTTGTTTTCATAGTACAGCACTATTCTATGACAGGTGTTTCAATAGGCATATATGTCAGCCCAGTAACAGTGGGAGGGCTTCTAGTGTCCTGGCCCCACTGGTGGACCTCCTGATGGCACCTGGTATTTTTGGCCACTGTGTGACAGAGTGTTGGATTGGATGGGCCTTTGGCCTGATCCGGCATTAGCGTCTCTTATGTTCTTATGTTCTTAAACTAGTCTGGTTCACCCATTTGGCAGAAAGGGCATTTAATCCTGCAGTCCTGGTGACTAAGATACAGGAGCCAGTTAGATGCTCAGTACTTGGTCATTTTACTACTGAACTTTGGCCCCTCCTTTTACCATCATTTTACAGGTAGATGAAGGTAAGTGGAAAATGACTGCCTCCAGGTCATTTTGTGGCTCACTTCTGGGGTAAGACTACAGTCACATGGGCAGGAAAGAAGGGGACCTTAGACCCAACCCCTATCCAGAATGCCAAAGTAGATCCATCTCTGCGCTGAAATTCATTTTCTGTTTTATTAAATAGGGCTTTTTATACATTTATATTACTGCTGTATGGAAGAAATATTTCAAGCTCGTAACAAGTCATTTAAATAAAAATCTCTTTATCTTCCAGTTGAACGTTCCTCGTGATGTTATTTAGAAAGAATATGTTTCTTTATAGTTTCTTTACATAGCAGTTTATAGTTTCTTTACATAACAACCTTCCTAAAGTATATCTCTATTCATCAGCAGGTGGCGATCTTTTCACTAACTTTGTCCAAATATACACCACTCTGTGTATCCCAGCAGTTCCTTTGGTATAGGTGTTGCAAATAATTAAATGTTTTTTAAAAATAGCAATAAAGAGCTGGAAAAGAGCCATTAATTTACAGCTCTCTGTAAATTCTTGACACCAAGCAGCCCTAGTGGATTCTTCCTTCCGCTTGATCTAATAGTGTTTTCTCGATATAAAGCAGAAACAAGAAATGTGTTCCATTGCCGCAGGTCTGCATAATCCAAGAAATGTGGTCGTATGTTTTTCACTGTAATGTGAATCTAAGACAGGCTTACCCAGTTTATGACCCAAGCTGAATGCAGGCAGTTGCCCGAGAATCCCTCTGCTTCTTACAGCTCAAAAACTAATCTCCAAAACCAGTATTCCAAACCTCCATTTGGGGCCTGGTCCATCGAGCTGCCAGGCCCCTGTTGGGGGCAGCCCCTGACTGCCGATCAGGTGGCCAGTGGGGGGACTTACTGGTGGCAGGAGGAGGACTAGGCCGACGATGCAGTGACTTCACTTGAAGCTCAATTATAGTTGACTTCCAGACTACAGATATCCATTCCCCCTGGAGTAAATGGCCACTCTAGAAGGTGGACTCCAGGGTATACCACAGAGTTTAGATGAAATCCCTCCCCAGACTTCCCCCTCTATAGGCACCTCCCCAAATCTTTAGGAAATCCCAAGGCCAGAGGTGGGAACCTTATGGGGATAGCTTGGTGGATCCACCCTTAGGTACCTTTAACACAAACTTAAACCCCCCTCCGTCCCTTTGGCATAATTTCACGGATCAAAGAAGCTGATTTTTCAAGAAGGAAGTATACCTAGGCCAGGGACTTGGAACCAAGCCTTGGATCTACTTGTGTCTCTGAACGAGGAGGTAAGCTTCCATTTTGAGCTTGTGCCAGTTAGGGATACCAGCCTCCAGGTGGGACCTGGGGATCCCCCCCCCCAAATCACACCTCATCTCCAGACTACAGAGATCAGTTCCCCTGAAGAAAATGGATGCTCTGGAGGCACTGTACCACACCTCTGTGGCATTTGTACCCCACTGATGCTCTGGAGGCATTGTACCCCACTCTGTGGCACTGTACCCCACTGAGGTCCCTGTCCTCCCCAGGCTCCATCCCCAAATCTCCAGGAGTTTCCCAACCTGGATCTGGCAACCCTGCCCCTATCCCTCACCAGTGGCCAGAAGGGACCTGGCAACCCTAGTGCCAATGCATCTATTGCTATTAAAAAGCTGCATAAATTGAGAACGAGGTAAGTCACATGCTCAGAGAGAAATCACTTACACTTTCTTTGCCGCATGGATTACATGATCCCCATTCACTCCAGTGGCTAAGCAAACAATTGATGGGGGGTGGAGCACCAGACTCTCCTTTTACCCGGTGTAGCACTTGCTCTGAAAAGCTATCAGAACAACAGACCATACTCATAACACATTGCTCAGCAAGATGAAATCAAGAGCAAGTTGAAACCAAGAGCAAGACTCCCCAGGCTCCACCCCCAAATCTCCATGAGTTTATTTATTTTATGTTATTTATATACGGTATACCACCCTCCCCGCAGATGGTAGGGTTGCCAAGTCCCTCTTCCACTCCCAGCGGGGGACTTTGGGGGTGTTCCTGGAGGGGGCGGGGCATCCCCGACATGATGACGCCACGTTGGGGATTTCCGCTGCCCTCCCCCCGCCCGCGCGCCAGATCTCCAGAAACGGAAGTTCACTGCACTTAAAGGAGCCAGCGTTTCCCTTTTAAGTGCAGGAGCCGGCGTTTCCCCTTTAAGAGCAGCTGCATTTCCCTTTTAAGTGCATGAAGCTGGCATTTCCCTGTAAGCCTGATCTCAAGCGGAGATCGGGCTTGGGAGGAAACACGGGTTCCACACACTTAAAGGGAGAGAGAGGGGGGACCTCTGGCAAACTGGGGGGGGGGGTTGGCAACCCTAGCGGATGGGCTCAGGGCAGTTCACAACAATCTCAATACAATAACATTAAAACAACAATTAAATAGCAATTAAAACAGTAAAACAATAAAATACTGTTCAAACAAGCTAGTTCTGATGTCAGTTCAGCAGTACCAATGTTAACATCCAGGCCACTGGAGGGGAGAAAGCCAGGAGGGAAAAGGGACATTCGCTACCTCAACCAAAGGCCCGGTGGAAGAGCTCTGTCTTGCAGGCCCTGCAGAACTGTAATAGATCCCGCAGGGCCCTGATGTTGTATGGGAACTCATTCCACCAGGTGGGGGCCAGGGCTGAAAAAGCTCTGGCCCTGGATGAGGCTAGTCAGACGTCCCTGGGGGCAGGGACTGCTAAAAGATGTTATTTATTATTTATTAATCAGATTTATATCCCGCCTTCCCCCGTAGGGCTCAGGGCGGCTTACAATGTTGAGTCGTAGACCTCAGTGTCCTCCGGGGCTCATATGGGGAGAGGTGGTCTCTTAAGGTATGCTGGTCCCCGGCCGTATAGAGCTTTAAAGGTATGTTTCCCAACCTGGATCTGGCAACCCTACCCCACCATCCCCCACTGGTGGCCAGGAGCGACCTGGCAATCCTACTCTGTAGTCTGAATCTCAGTTTAACCCTGGGAGCTCTCCAGGCTTTACCTGGAGCTTGGACACCCTAGGAAAAACTCACATCTGTGACTGCTGGGAATCACACCTTGTTGAAGTAGGTCCCACGCCACTTTGTGCATGTATGAAAAACCAGGTGATTTCCCTTTGCCCAGACTTTATCCTTTCAGGTTGCAGGTAAATGTGTCGTTTGGTATGTCTGAATGCTTTTCCACAGGAAAGTCTCCCAAATATAGGAGAGGGGGGATGAAACAGAGAATGCGAGGCTGACCATGAGACTGTTGTATTTGCAGAAGGGGACTTTCTTTTTTTAGCCAGGGGAAGAATCAATCTGTCACCTATATCCAGTAACACACAGGCTAGGAGAAAAATTACCACTCAGCAATGCTCCCTCTAAACTGTGGAGTCTTTTGAGCAAAAATTCTACTTTGGGAGCTACTGGCATTAAAGTGTGAGCCAGCAATTGGGCTACTGCATAAATTAGTTTGCTCTGGAGCCATCCTTTCTGAGCTAAGACAAAAATGGGTGAGCTACAGGCTAAAAAACTGTGAGCTAGCTCACACTAACTCAGCTTAGAGGGAAGTCCTGCTGGATGCATAAACCCGTCCCAAAGTTTTGCTTACCTCTTGGCCCTTGGCCGAAGCAATGGTATGTCATGGAAATCTGTTAATTTGCCAACCGTTCAATAACAAATCAAATATCTAAGGATTTTGTAAATGTTTGAGTTTTTCCTTGTGCTGTCATCCGTGATTGCAAATCAAGGGGTTCTATTCTGTTCTACAGCACAGAGCAGCAACTGAGAACTTCTGTAGTTCCGGAGCTACCCAGTGCCCCAGTAGTGTTGTTCGGCTCAGGGTGGTTAGAATAATAATAAAGTGGGCAACTTCCAGCACTGAGGTCTTCATAGGCTGAGCCCCACAACATGCCATTTCCCTGCCCGCTCACTTGTGAGTGCTTTGCTACCCAGGCCTCCAGCTGCACACACTGCCCAGTGCCATCAGGGAGAGGGCCTGTGAGCAGGGACAGGAGATATGCACAGGCAGGTAGTAGGTTCGCCAGCTCTGGGTTGGGAAATACCCAGAGGTTTTGGGGGGTGGAGCCTGAGGAGGGGGGGTTGGTAGGGGGAGGGACTTAAGTGGGTAAAATGCCACAGAGTCCACCTTCCAAAGCAGCCATTTTCCCCAGGGGAACGGACCCCTGTCACCTAGAGATCAGTTGCAATCCCAGGAGATCTCCAGCCATCACCTGGAGGTTGGCAGCCCTAGCAGGTAGTGAGAAACATGGGTGGGAAAGGAGCCCCCTGGGAACTCTCTGCCCAAGGTGCCCCAAAATGTGGAACCAGCCCTGCCACCAGTAGCACATGGATGACCAAGCAGTGGACCAGGCAACCAAGGTCTGTGGGGCATGTAGGAGGAGGTGTAGGAGGGCCCTCGGCTTTGGCTATGGTGGAAAGTCAAG